AGCGAGTGTGTGAAGGAGCAACTGTTAGAAAACTTACAAAACCATCAGATCTTGTGAGAATCCACTCATTATCACAAGACCAGCATGGAGGACACTGCCCCCTACCCCCAATCCAATTACCTCCCAGCAGATCTCCCCCTTGACATGTAGGGATTATGGGGATTACAATTCTAGATGATACTTGGGTGGTGTCTAACTATATCATCAGCTCACCCCAGTTACAATGACTTTTATAAAATAAAATGAAATAAAATGTTAAAGGGAACTCTCCTGTGCTGTTGGTGGGAATGTAAGTAAGTATAGCCACTATAGAAAACCATATGAAAGTTTCTCAAAAACTAAAAATAGAACTACCATATATACCCAAAAGAAAGGAAATCATCATATCAAAGAGACATCTACACTCTTATGTTTATTGCAGCGCCATTCATAACAGCCAAAATATGTAATCAACCTAGGTGTCCGTCAGTGAATGAAAGTATAATTGTGGTATACATACATAGTAGACTATTACTTAGTTATAAAAAAGAATGAACTCATGTCATTTGCAGCAACATGGATGGAAATGGAAGCCATTATGTTAAGTGAAATAAGCCAGGCACAGACAAATATTACACATTCTTGCTCTAATGTTGGAGCTATCAAACAGGATTACATCAAGATAGTAGAGTGACTGGGAATGGTAGGCGGATGGGGGATGAAGCAATAGGTACAAAAGTACAGTTGTAATAAGATCTAGTGTGAGCTGGTTCAGTATGGTGACTATAGTTAACCATCTGTGTATTTTAAAATAGCTGGAAGAGAAGAATTTGAATGTCTCTAGCGTAAAGTAAAAGTAGAAGTTTGAGGTGATGGGTATAAGGTACCCTGATTTGGTCGTTACACATACCGGATGTTCAAAACCACACATGTACCTCAAAAATGTATACAACTATTAGATATCAAAAAAACATGTGCCAAGGTAACACTTCTGTGCCCTCTTCCTCCCGTTTCCCCCACCTGATTCATGTCTTCTTCTAGGTCTCATTTATAGCTCTGGATGGATGGAGGAAACAGTTTAGACAGAATGTATCTTTATTTCAACTAGTCACTTGAGATTTGTGGTCAAGATGGAGAACGGAATAATGTGAGCAGAGTCCCTAGTTAAGTAGATAGTAAGTTATTTGAAGATGGGAGGCAGTTTTGTGAAGTGGAAATGACCTTTGATGTTGAGCTTAGAGGTGGGATCAGTTGGTGCAGGGATAAAAGGAGATGACACTGGTGGTGTTCTTGATAAGTAAGGGTAGAAATCTTTTTTTCCCCTCGCTGTCATCTCCTACACCTCATTTCCTCAAATAATCTAAACACTGAGTGGTCGAATGAAAGGAGAACTTCAGATCATGTGTAGTAGAGGGTGAAAGATACATTGGAGAGGATTGGGAAAATAAATATTAAAAGGAAAACTGTTGCTCTGCCTCAAGAAATAAAATCCTATTCCCCCTAAAGCTTATATGAAAGAAATTAGATTTAAAAATTTATTATTTACTATTTTACCATGGATGAATATATGTAAATTTGTATTTCAAAAGCTTTTCCATGAAAAAATGTATACCCAAGCATTTCTAGAACTCTTCATTTATAATTATGATCAACAAATGGATTTTTAAAAGGCATCACATTGCTTTAGTCACTGTTTTACCACTGTTATTTTTAACTTTTTGTTTTGACATGTTGCTTTTAACTGTAATTAAAAATTATTGGCATCTGTGTTTACTTTTTAGCTTGCACATACCTTATCTTCATAGCAGAAACTAATTAGTATGTGAAATACAGTACCATTAAATATGCATTAATGGGAGGAAATTCTAATCTAATCAGCTGTAAAAATATCTTAGAAAATACATTTTGCTATGTGCATGGTGTTCACTGTAATTCCATTCTCATAACAAAGAAATACTGTTTTCGCTTTTGCCTCTATACATCTTAATTGGCTCCTTGGATGTGGTCAGATTACAGGTTTAGGGGGTAAAAAACTCTTCCCTCATGAAACTTACTAAGTGATTTAGAAAAATAACTATTGTGTGTGATGAGCCTGTTTTAACAAAATAGAATGTAACATCCCACTGAAATTTTTCAAAGCGCTGGAATATGTTTTTTACTTCCAAATAAATTTCATACATACCTTTCTTTAGTCTTTTCCTAATTTATTGACCCAGATCACTTAACATCTTAAACCCTCACAGGTAAGTGTTATCTTCTGTGAATCTCTTTTTGAACTGCCTATAAAAAATGTTTCTTTGATTGACTCTCATGTTGGAGGCATGTAACTTTTATATTATTACTGTTACCCTTAGATCTCAAAGCTGTCCGCTTTTTTTTGTTCCTGCTGCCACTGTAGTAGTCCAGCTCATCCTCACTTCTCTCCCAGAGTATTGTAATACTTTCCTAATTGATCCTTCTTGTTTCTGTTGTCCTTCTTAGAAGAACATGAGTAGACTTTTAAAAACATTGTCACCCCCACCCCATCACTCTCTCCATGTCCCACACCATCACAGTACCCCACTTACACTCTTCCAGTAGCATTGGTTTCCCCTACAACCCCATTGACAGTAGTGGATAACCTCCACTTTTTCCTTAAGACCCCTTATCAGAAGGAGTCATTATTTAAGGTGCATAATTTACTTGTTTGTGTTTTCCACTGCCCTGTAATCCCAAGAGCAATGGGATTTTATCCTTTTTATTAAGTTACTTTATACCAGCACTATGCTTAGCAATTTATAACTGCACATTAGTAGTTTTGTTTTTTTTTTAGTAAATGGATTTGGTTCAGTATATAACACAATAGTCGCTTGTATAATGCTTAATCGTGTATTTCACGTTCCCTCTGTGATGTTCATTAACGGTAGTATCCCCTTCTCTGATTTTTCCCATTAACACTGAACACCATCTGTGTCAAAGTAAAACTGATGAGAGCAGAGAATTTTGTCTGTCTGTTCAGTATCCTGTCTCTGGTGTGCAGAGGAATACCCAGAAGATATTTATTGCATATGTGTTGAAGGAGTGGGTGGGTGGGTGGATGAACTGCACACTTGACATCTTGGAATTCTTTCCTGTGATACACAGTTCAGTTCAATAGACATTTACTAAGTATCTGCTATATGCTGACCATTAAGTTAGCCACAGTGTATATGGAAATCAATAAGAAATCAGTAAGTTCTGGTGTCATTTCTGCTTTGATTTATTTTTTTAACAATGTTTGCTGTTATTCTAATTAACTTAGGAACTATAGTATCACATGACAGTGGCTTCCAAATTGAGCACTTAAAACTGGCTCCTATAAAACAAATAAGACTGAGATGATTTTATGTTCATGCTTTCCTTCACTTGTTGTTAATTACACTTTCTTTTCAGACACAATTGGTCTGAGCCTCTAGGAATGGTTGTGAGATTTTAGCTCCTTTGATTAATCTAGTTATCATTCTCTTTTGAGTTTAAGGCAAAACATTTTTATAAAGATAACAAATATTATGCAGTGTTCTGATGTTTTGTTTTTCATGTCTTTCTTATAATCTAATTTTGATTTGCTGACAGTGTGAAGAAATGGATTCAGCAAGGGCTTTGTTTAGGATATTGCGAGAACAGAGATGCCGTGTTAGTTTCAGCAGTTATCTTCCTTTCATTTCTTCTTTAAGAGAGTGTTACTTTTGAAATATGAAACATTACCTCCAGTTCTCCATATGTTGAAGAAAACACTAGTTTGCTTTTGATATCAAGATGAGATTTATGCCCAAAGTTGCGGAAAAAATTCTTAGTTAATTTTTGGTTGGAAATATATTCAACATTTAAAATGATCACCTACAGTAGGAGGGTTGCGAGCTTTTTTTAAAAAAAGAAACACATTAAACCTGTAGTCTCTGGCACTAAGCTATGAGGACGAAAAAGCATAAGAAGGATACAATGGTGTTTGGGGAATTGTGGGGGAAGGATGGGAGCAGGGTGAGGGATAAAAGACTCTACATTGGGTACAGTGTGCTGCTCAGGTGATGGTTACACCAAAATCTCAGAAATCACCACTAAAGAACTTATTCATGTAACCGAGCACCACCTGTTTCCCAAAAAACTATTGAAATTAAACCAAAACATATGTGTTATGCCTCTACCACCACCACCACCAAAAAACAAACCAAGCAAACCTGTAGTCTCAGTTACTTGGGAGTCTGAAGCTGGAGGATTGCTTGAGTCCTAGGAGTTTGAGGTCAGCCTGGGCAAATAGCAAGACCCTATCTTTAAAAAATAACAAGCACATTAGACTGGGTATGGTGCCTCATACCTATATTCCCAGCTACTCAGGAGGCTGAGGCAGGAGGAATACTTGAGCCCAGGAGTTCAGGGTTACGGTGAGCTATGATGGTACCACTGTACTCCATTCTGGGCAACAGAGTTAGAACTTGTCTCTGGAAAACAAGTGTATTAAAAAGTTATAAGCAGAAAGGTATATATTTTAATACTCTGTTCCTATTTCTAAAATATGTAATTTAGAACTAAATACTACATGTGTATTCTGTGTTCTAATAACTAATTTTTTTAAAGTAGGAGAGTTATAAATTCTATCATATTTATTTTGAAATACATCCTTTTATCCTCCCGAATAAAATGTATTAGAAACATGTAGATGTTAAATTACCTCATGCTGAAAAATTAGTTGATAAGTCGTTCCCTTCAAGAGTAAAAGCTCGATATTTAATTTTCTGGTTGATTTTTATGTCATTATTGATATACTTTTAAGTATGAGTGGATTTATATGAACTTGTAACATACAGCTGCCTGAATTAAATCATTAATTTGAGGTTTTGGGGTTTTTTTTTGTATTTTGGTGGCGAGAACGCTGAGTGATAAAGGAAGCATGCCTTTTAAAAATCCTTTTCTATCTCTGGGTTTAACCTCTTCCGATTCTAGAGAAATAGTGAAACTATTATCTGTGCTCAAAACATATAGTGAAGGTTTGCTTTTTTCTTTCGTAGGATGAAGTGGCACACACGCTAACTGAAAGCAGAGTATTAAAGAACACTAGACATCCCTTTTTAACAGTGAGTAATTAGAGGACAGATGTTACAATGTTTGAAATTTAAGGAATTTTGTATTAGAAACTAAGTTGTGAAAAATAACATTCATTTAAATATGCCATTTTCTTTGTGGAAAGACCGTAAGTCAAATTTCTTATAACTTGTTAGAATATATGGATTTTTACAGTATGTATGCATTGGTAATTCCTCCCATTTTGCATTTGTTACTCTTTTTAGAATTTTTTTGCTCTCATGAATCTCTTGCAATTAAAAACAAAAGCAAACCATTGAATTAATGGATTACCTCTGGCATTTTAGGAAGACTATTGAGGAAATGGCAGATTTAAAAAAATTTCTTATTAAATGTAAAGATTTTAGGTTTTATTGGTTTCTGATAAATATTTTAATAATCAGAAGCATTTCTTCAAATATGTCAGGCAGAAATGTGTATTGAATATATTTTATAGAGATGAGACTTCTTTGAGGAACAGAGTACTTTAAGAAACCCAGGAATGCTAAATACATTAGAGGTGGGATAAGTCATGCTATGTTTTTTTCAACAGACAAAGTATAAACTGTTATTATATGATATGCCTGTAACTTAGTTGTTTTGAGAGAAACTGGATTTTTCAGTTCTGTTCTTAGATTCTTTGTAATACAGGAATAATTGGTAAAGTTTCTGTATTTTCCTGGTTCCAATTAACTATATTGAGATTAAAAATAATAGCTAGACTTTCAAAAGTGGAACCCTTTAAACTGTTGGGAATATCTGAAATAGACATTTTCAGAGCAGTCAGTAGATAACTAGATTTAACTTTGCTACCTTTTTGTGTGTTTATTGTCTAGTGTAATAAGATAGCATTTTGGTATTTTTATATATAACCTACAAAATTACTCAAACCAACTCTCGAGTTGGGTTCTGTTATGCCCTCAGTATGCAAAAAGTGATGGCGACATTGTGTTAGAAACCTGAGTGTAACAACTGTAACTATATTCCTAAGAAACTTCAACTGGTGCAATTTGTTGGCCACGCTGTGAGGCTGCATGGGTGAGAGCCTTGAGCACTATAATGCAGCTACAAGCTGATGGCAAATTAGATGGCGAAGTGCTTATTGCAATTACGTTTGCTTTTACTTGAAATTTTAATTTTTCTTGTAATAATACCTATTGTGAATTAAGTAAAATTTGTTCTATATTTCTCATAAACTCTTAAGCACTTTTAAGTAGTAAATAAACTCTTAAGAAATAATAACTGTTTTCATCAATCATGCTTACTGAGTGTTCTGTTTTTAGTACCATCATAATTATAAGAATATAGGATTATAACATTTTTTCTTTTTTTTATTTCAAGTCCTTGAAATATTCCTTCCAGACAAAAGACCGTTTGTGTTTTGTGATGGAATATGTTAATGGGGGCGAGGTGAGTCAAGAAGTAAATCCAGTATTTGCACGGTAGTATTTTCATTATTTTAAAAACATTACTAATACAAGTTATCATACAGCAGTTCTCCATTTCTTGATAGGAATTTTTGTAGCTCTTAATACTACTGAATAGATGAGAACAAAATTATTTCTGATGAGATCTAATGATTGTTTTTATGTAACTACATTTATATATTGGAAAGTATGATTTTATTCTTTTTCCTGTATTTTTAAATGTAAAAAGTTTTACCACAAGTATGATTTTTGAAATCACGTTATTAAGTTTTGAAAACCAGAAATATAAGATTTATTATGTTTTATAGAGTTTCAGGTAGGCTGTGAACATTTTGAAGAGTTATTTTATTCGTTCTAAACTCAGTGAACAGTAGTCCATGGGCACATTATCACATTATGGCTGAGTTTTCTTTTCTTTTCTTTTCTTTTCTTTTCTTTTCTTTTCTTTTCTTTTCTTTCTTTCTTTCTTTCTTTCCTTCTTTCCTTCTTTCTTTCTTTCTTTCTTTCTTTCTTTCTTTCTTTCTTTCTTCCTTTCTTTCCTTTCTTTCCTTTCTTTCCTTTCTTTCTTTTTTTTTTTTTTTTGAGACGGTATCTTGCTCTGTTGCCCAGGCTAGAGTGCAGTGGTGCAGTCTCGGCTCACTGCAACCTCTGCCTCTTAGGTTCAAGCACATCTCTTCCCTCAGCCTCCTGAGAGTCTGGGACTACAGGCACTTGCCACTATGCCCAACTAATTTCTCTACTTTTAGTAGAGACGGGGTTTCACCATGTTGGCCAGGCGGGTCTCGAACTCCTGACCTCAAATGATCTGCTCGCCTCAGCCTCCGAAGTGCTGAGATTACAAGCATGAGCCACTGTGCCTGGCATCTCTTCTTCTTTATAGTATTTAGAGTACTATGACTTTTTTATTTCTTGAGATAGAATCTTGCTTTGTCGCCCAGCTGGAGTACAGTGGTGCAGTCTTGACTCACTGCAACCTCCACTTCCTGAGTTCAAGCGATTCTCCTGCCTCAGCCTCCTGAGTAGCTGGGACTGCAGGCGTGCGCCACCACACCTGGCTCATTTTTTTGTGTTTTAGTAGAGACGGGGTTTCACTATGTTGGCCAGGATGGTCTTGATCTCTTTACCTCGTCATGCACCCGCCTCGGCCTCCCAAAGTGCTGGGATTACAGGTCTGAGCCCCTGCATCTGTCCTGCTGTGACTATATTTAAGAGACTGACAATATCTTACAATTTTGGAAATAAATGTAATTGTTTTTATTAGCACGTTTCACTCATTCCTTTGTTCTTTCTCCTTTCTCTTCCTTGGTTTTGATCACCGTTAATATGAAGGAAAAGTAAATTTACTGGAATAGCTAACTGGAAATATTTTTCATTGTAGGCTTTCTGAAATTAATTATTAAATAGAGTCTTATGTCTCATAAACTTAAAATATTCTTATTTTCCAAAACAAATTAATTAAACATCCTTTATGGATTTCTTTTCCTGTAGAATTATCTGATTTGCAGGGATTCGTTTGTCGCAAAACTTCCTTCATTCGGGGCTTGCGTGGTGGCTCAGACTTGTAATCCCAGCACTTTGGGAGGTTGAGGCGGGAGGATCACTTGAGCTTAGGAGTGAGACCAGCCTGGGTAACATAGTGGGACTGTCTCTACAAAAAATAAAAAAAATTAGCTGGGCATGGTGGTGCACTCCCAGCTCCTGTACTCCCAGCTACTTAGGAGCTGAGGTGGGAGGATCACTTGAGCTCGAGAGGTCAAGGCTGCAGTGAACTATGATCATGCCATACTTCCAGCCTGGATGACAGAGCAATACCCTGTCTCAAAAAAAGAAAAGAAAAGAAAAGAAAAGAAAACCTTAATTCATTAATTTGGTAAACACATTTTGAGTGCCTGGGCAGAATGGGTTTATCAAAATGTGTTAAGATATTATCCTTGTATATAACTTCCTTTCTGTAAGTTCATTACAAATTAGAATGTGTAGTGAAAGACCTAAATTCTAATAAAGTCATGAAAGAAAATGCTTAATGGATGATCTAGCACTTAGGGTAGGCTTAATGAGGTTTCACTCGGGGAACTGATTTAAGAAGCTGTTTCAGGCAGAGAGGATGGGCAGAATCACTGGTGGGAGATGGGAAAAGAAAAACTTAAGTAATTAAATAATAATAAACCTGGCATACAGGACTGGGCCCTTGCAGTAAGATGTCTGAGAAAATACAGAGAAAATGGATGTTGTGAAACTGTGGGATTGGTACATCTTTTTTTTCGAGATGGGGTCTGGCTCTGTCATCCAGGCTGGAGTGAAGTGGTGCCATCTTGGCTCACTGCAACTTCAGCCTCCCAAGCTTAAGCAATCGTTCCATCACAGCCTCCTGCGTAGCTGGGGCTACAGGCACGCATCACCATGCCTGGCTCATTTTTGTAGAGAAGAGGTTTTGCCATGTTGCCTAGGCTGGTCTTGAACTGCTGGCCTCAAGTGATCCACCCACGTCAGCCTTTCACAGGGCTGGGATTACAGATGTGAGCCATCGCATTTGGCCTTATTGTTACATCTTAATGACTAATTAATTAGATCTGGGTAGAACCGAAGAGGTACAATGAAAAGTGATCTTCAGTTGCAATTTGGGAGCCTTAACAGATACGGTGCAGGTATGAAGAACATGTTAAGCATATAAATTTGGTTTTGAAAAAGTTTTTCCTAAGCTTTTTAGGGAATGTGTATGTGGAACTACTGTGGAGAGTAAGTAAAGAGTTGAAACTGTGGATACAGTTTTGGCAGCCATTCCCATAAAGATTATTATTTACGTTACGGAGGTGGAAATGAAATCAATGAAACCTCTATGTCAGTATCTATCAGAATTTAAAATGCACTCATACTGGGACTCAGCAGTTCTATTTCTAAGAATTTATCCTGCAGATATACAGATGCGCCACAGAATGATACATAGATAAGTATACTTATTGCAGCACTGCAGTACTTTAAATGAGCCTTCAGTAAGGAGTCTGCTTAAATAAAATGTTACATTCATGCAGTGGAATCTCTGTATCCATCAAAAAGAATGAGACAGCCCAATATGGGCATTTATAGAAGTTAAAAAAAACAGTGTAGACAGAGTATAAAACATACTTCTGTTGTGTTAAAATAAAATTAGACCATAAACATGTGTATATATGTTTGTGCATTGAGCATGTCTGAAATTATGTGCTGGATATTAGTGCTTGTCTTTGGGAAAATAAACTGAGTGGCTAGGGATAACATAGGAGGAAGACTTTTCATTTATGTATTTTTCTGTGTCTTGTGTGTTGTACCACATACATGTATTATCTAATAGTTGAAAGTAGACAGATGGATAAATGAATGACTAAGGGAAACAGTAAGACAGATAAAACAGTCTGCAGACAAAAACTTGGGAAAACACTCTTAAGTGTCTCTATTTTTTAAAAAGTATCATATACTCATGTCTATAGTAACAGTTTCATAATTACCTATTTACTTGTCTATCTTTCTCCCAAAGTGTTGACTTCCAAAGAGCCTTGTTCGCTGGTATACCCCTAGCACCTTATACAGTACTGGTACATAGTTGGTGCTTGCCAAATATTCATTGGATTGTTTGAATGAATAAGTGAACAAATGGATAAACATTCCCTTGGGGAGTAGGGATAAGAGAAGTTAGCAAAAATGGTGAAATAGGAACTACTGAGGAGTAGGAAGAAAAATAGAAAGTGATATAGTGTACAGTTTATTTTATAAAATTTATATTTTAGGAAAGAATAACTTTGTATTTGTAAAATACATATGTATTAAGTCTTTGTGGAAGGCACTCTGGTAGATATCTAGGGTATAGAAATCTGAATTAAACATAGATCTTACTCTCAAAGAATTTATAGTCTAGTGGGCAAAAGATAGGGCACAAAAATAATACTATATATGAAACAATTATCACTTCTGTCATAACAGGCAAATAGATCATGGGACTCTAGGGGGTTGAAGGAAAGCTTCCTAGAGGGGGCTACCTGGCAACTGCAATTCCTAAACCTAGAGTACTTACAGATGAATTAGCTGACGATTGTTGTAAAGCAGATTTTCAGATTCGCCGGATGGTTTTCTTTAGCGCCGATACTCCTACATTATTTTTCTGGTTCAGCGTATCTTTATTTTCTTCAGGTTTGGATTGGGTTATAGATAAGGGCTAAATTATTTAATATTTTGAAGCAGATGAACTGAGTCTCTAAGGTTTCACTCCATTACCCAGTCTGGAGTACAGTGGTGCTGTCTTGGCTCACTGCAACTTATGCCTCTGGGGCTCAAGCGATTCTCATGCCTCAGCCTCCTGAGTAGCTGGGGTTATAGGTGTGTGCCACCATACCTAGCTTATTTTTGTATTTTTAGTAGAAATGGGGTTTGGCCCTGTTGGCCAGACAAAGTCTTGAACTTTTGGCCTCAAGTGATCTGCCTACCTCAGCCTCCCTGTATGTGGTATATAATTTCAGTGTGCATAGATGTGCATAGGTAATTACAGTGTTGATATACACGCACACACACACACACACAATTTATGCTTATTGTTCATTGATTTTTAATTAGCAAAGCATCTTCTTCTTAGTCTATACTCTAGAAAGTTTACCTTGAATTATAATTTGAATTGAGAGTTTAGCATGCTCTTGATTATGCCTGTGATGATTATGTGTTTGTCAGTATTGGTCACATGCCACATAGCAATGTTTCAGTCAGTGATGGACAGCACAGTGGTAGTCCCATAAGACAAACATGCACAGGTTTGTCACCTAGGAGCAATAGTCTATACCATATAGCCCAGGTGTGTAGTAGGCTGTGTCACCTAGGTTTGTGTAAGTCATTCTATGATGTTCACACAATGATGAAATTGCCTGTGTTAGTCAGTTCTCACACTGATATAAAGAACTGCCTCAGACTGGGTAATTTATAAAGGAAAGAAGTTTAATTGACTCACAGTCAGGACTGGGGAGA